GCTGCAACAACCAATCCTTTTATTCAAATGGCAGTCATGGCACGAGTCACTACAGAATATAAAGAACGAAGCCAATGTCACTCATATTACTGGAGTATCACCGCTACACGGCCTCAGGATCTTCGGTAGGATCACGAGCAAGATAAACGAACGCTCATGCCGTGCACGGACCGAACTGCGCCAACGCAGGGCGAAGGCCATAAGATTCAGTATCGTATACAACAGCGTCTGCGTTATAGCGAGTGGATGTTATAGAAAAATATTCTTTTCAAGAAAACTCAAGATAATTAATTATTTTAGCAAATAATCCTCAGAAAACCCCTACCGTAGTTCTAAAGCATTAATAATTTCTAAGGTGTGCTTAAGTTTAAATTCAGCATTGTTTGGATTGAACGAAAATTATCATTGTTTGAATTGAACGATATAAATAATACAAAAAATAGCCAAAAATTTGAAACGCAGGAGATGAAAGATATCAGTATGAGACGCTCCATGGCGAAGCAATAAGACAAGCAGGATCAGAGCTCGTGCGCCAAAGGTCCCGCTGAAAAGATAAGGATGCTTCATAAACGCCTGCTTATCCTCCATTCATCTCACTTCTCACGTCCTCACAGCCACTCCTCGCTATTGAGAGCAAATGGCCATAAAGCGAGAGCGATGCGCGAGCTTGCAGTACAAAGCCTCACATAAAATGCGATATAATATATCATAGATTGGAATTAGTTCACATAAAGTGAAGCTAGTAAAGCGAACATAATAAGTGGTTGAAACAAACACAGCATTAAATATCCATTATCGTTGACAGACTTCTAACGCGAAAATCGAAAGCAATAGGAAAAACTACAAGGGGTATACCAAATTCCAGAGATAAATAGAGGGAGACAAAAGTCTACAAGTCAATTAGAACATTTACCCGAATAAAAAAATGTAATTAAAACAACACGAATGCATAATCAAGATGAAGTTGAGTCTTTGCACAGCATCGAACGTTGGGTGAACTAATAGATAGCGATAATAGATAGCGATTTAGGACTGGATGGACCAAGACATCCAACCCTAAAACGCACTACAGGTTCCTTATCGCTCGCCTTTCTCACGCTAAAAAGGTAAAATTCCGCTATTTAATGGACATAGAGATATCATCTTCGCGAGCCAAAACTCTCGAGACTACGTTTCTTGGATCGAAATTTTAAATGATGCCTGCCAAATCTGACTCCTTAATGACGCTGTTATAACGAGATAAAAGGGTGAATGTAACGCGGTATATCTATAACAGCAGATACGAAAAATTCATAATATTAAATGCCGAAAACATATTAATTTTTTAATGCAGAAGTAGGTTACAATATCTTGCATAGCAATTCGCCTGCCCAACATGAGCAGTCATGTGACATGCGTGAGCAGAAGCTGAATAATTTCTTTACTTCGCGTGGCGGCTTACAAATTTAACCCTCAACGTAGTTGACTGAGTGATGAAGGGTGCCTTTTCTTATTTTTTTTACTACTGCATTGCCAAATGTTTTTCGATCCTAGAAGAAGCAAAATTTTCATTCTGCTTCTGCGTTTTTTAATCCTCAAAAAGTCATGTGCTCACCTGTTGCGCACTTCACAGCTTCCGTCCAACCCCATCTTTTCCCTATACAATTGACTTCCAAAGCCAGATTTCATTCAACGGTTCCCCCCACATGCGTTTTTTTTTCTTCACGGTCGCTAGGGCGGAACTGGTCCACCGCAGAGCAAACGCAAACGTTGACCGTCAATCGCTGCCTATCTGCTTTACAGGCTGGGCAGGACAACACGCGAAGTGCACTCTCTGCTTCAGGATAAGTACAAACGTTTAGGCTGAACAATAGCACACAAGTCATGGCATGTGATAAACAGTCGCACGACGCGGACACTAAAACTGTATGTTCCGTTTGACTTGTATATTATATGTCATTATATCATTTACGCTGAATACTTTGATCATTTTCACATTAGAAAGCACTTTGATAAACGAATTGAAGAATATCAAAAAAAAAAGAAGAAGCTATTTCATCATTCGATTTTCGGCCAGGCTATACATGAAAAAGGATTTGTGACCCGTTCAGCAGACAAGACGATCGTAATAAAACAATATAACATAGCAGCGACGAAGCACGACAATCACCCATAAATCCATCCATGAAATAGTTAATTCAGAATTCATCTGCCTGGTCGGACATCACAGCTATTATGTACATTTCAAAAAGAGAAACGTCCCTTTGTTTGCCAAGTAAACAATATTTTCCCGCATAATACGATAAAGGATTATAGCTTTCTCGCGAGGGATTATTTCAACCTGAAAATAAAGTCAAATAAGACTACAAACTTCGTAGGACCGCATTCTGTAGACGAGCTCTCGTTTCTTTCTGCGCCGAACACTAACAATCGAACATGTGGGACGAACCACTGAATGATAATGACGAGTTCGAGTTTCAGTAGAAATTCAATGGCGAGAACATTTTCGTAATCCAATTATGGCACACACGAAAAAGTTACCAAACTACAGGGAAAAACTAAAACCGTTTTTAAGAATGGAATTCAGTATACATGGATGAAAATCAAATAAGAATACTTCAGTTTTAAGGAATTTATGCAATTGTATGTTCCAATGAAGTAAACTAGAATTTTGGTCAGTTCATCAACCACAGAAATCGGGTTTCTAACGACGGATTTTGCAAACTTAGTCAGTTCTCGGACGGCTTCAAAGCCATCTCATGAACCGTGAAGTGCGAATCTTTAAAATTGAAGAGAATCGTCTCAGCGGTACACGTCTCGTTCTCAAGGCAGCAAAGAAGCTTTTCTGAGAAGCCTCAGCACCGAAGACATCCCGCAGAGCGCAGACAAAGCCTAGAAAATTGTGAAGGCGACGAGCGCAGGTGTGAGGAAGTCAAGGAACGGACGACACCACCACACACATGACGGATGGCCGCTCTCACCACTAATTGAATCAGGGCTCAAGGGAAACGAGACTCGGCCGATCATCACAACAATCAGGAATGTAGAAATCCAGACCTTAACACATGCATGCCTTTTCAGATGCAAGTTTAATAATTATTTGGATTAATTCCCCATTTTACAGTGGGTTTCGTCGAGATGGTTCGAAAAAAGAAATAAATTACAAATAATCTAAACACCATCAAATTTACAATTAAAACCTCAAAACTTTGCGTCCTAATGTCCTACATCACTTGTCTATAATTTTTACGTTGTTCTTCCTGATCAATGGCGCAACGAATAATTAAAAGCATCTTTCCTGCTGTAAATGCCTTTTAAATGTCATGCAGAATCTCAGGTCTCATCCTTTTTATCCGGAGAGCAATCAAATTAAAATTCATCAGTGGGACGATCGATGTGAAATTTATCAAAATATATACGAATCAATAATTTTTTCTAGGACTTCGCACGTACAATTGACGAAAATATGATAATAGTTGACTATTGACGGTAGTACGCTAAATCAACAAATTCGTTCACAAGGATATAACCACAAAAAATATTTAGAACATCGCATAAAATATCTCGCACCTTCCATCGTTCGCATGCGATATAGACATGCAAGAAGATGGAGACTCAAGGAGGTCGTTATTAGTTCATCATTAATGAGTTTTGACATTTACGAAGAACAAGGAGCTCAGGTTCATTCAGAGAGCAAGACGAGAAAACTGAGAGCAATGAAAGACGAAGAACAACGTCAGCGATATTTGTGCATGTTAAATTCAAATTGAACGATAAATCACAGAAGAATGTCAATACAATAATTTGCACTTCAATCGATACGTATCAACCATAAGCTTTAATGAGAAAGACTAGCATCGCGAATCATACGTTCGAAAAATGCTGAGTTACAAATTGCACGTCTTTGCCCGTGATTCAGATAGTCTGAATTTTTTCAGCCATGTGTGTATGGTTTGTGCGCAGTATATACTTTCAGTTATCTTTGTTTATCTACACAGGCACACCCGTTTCTTCAGGGTATCTAATCATTCGCTGGTTTCCATAAAATTAGTCACACACTCATACATTTGAACATATTAATAAAAGACTATGTGATAGCAAAGGCTAGAGTCGCGAACAAAACAAATTTTTCAGAAGTGGCTCTCTAACTCACGACGTATCACAAACGAACTCAATGCAGACGTTAAATGAAGAGAAGGTCAGAAAGCAAATTAAATGAGCAGGGATCACGAACCAAGCTCCATCCATCACCATAAGCGTCACATTTCAATTAGAGGTCGGTGGGCTGTAAAGAATGATCTGCAAACCCGTGATCACGCAAAGAAATTGATCCCATGCGAACGCCATTCGCTGCCCTGATCTTGTCAATCACTGAAAATCAGTCCGCAAACATCATTAGGCAGCAATACCATTAGTTTACAGAATACATTGCAGAAAAAGCAGACGGTCGCCTCACTAAGTAAATCAAGCTTTCCTCTGCGTGATATTGGGTCATTTGCGTCGTTCCCAACGATTCCATAACAGCAAAAAAATTTTGAAGACGCAAGTTTTTAAAAGAATTCTCCACTTCAAGCAAAATTTCCCTACTAATAATACTACAACCAATTTTCAGTTTGCAAATGTGTTGCAGCTGGAAATACAAAACATAAGAAAAAATCGTCATAATGGAGTAAAATGCAAAAAAAAAATACATGCAAAATTACATTAACAAGTTGAGTGCGATACAACCCACTAGGATTGCCATATGGCCCAAAAATAGACAATTCCGCGGACAAAAAGATCAAAAAAGCCTACGGTTCAACGTTTACAAGAAAATTTGTATCTTCCGGTGCAAAAATTAAATTTTTTTCTTACTTTTTAAATTGGATAAGGCAGTACCGCCAACATAAATTTTTGTCGTCTAACACAATTGGAATAAACTTATTCACGAAATTTGTCCGGGAAAAAGACCCTACAATCCACCGGTGGGTCGTCTTGCACTAAACGTTTTAATTAGCCTTGATAAATTCATCATTACTCACCCCGGCTTCAGGACATTTTCCGTCCAAGATGAGTCCAGAGATGTACTCCATGCTGCGGTACTGCATGGAGCCATTAAAGCACATGTGAATATTCTCATTGAACTTGGTCTCAATGTAGGCGACAGAATAGATACAAACGGCAGCAGCGTTCTCAGCGTCCGCCGTATGGCCTACCGACGGCGCGAAAGTAGCGACTAGAATTGGATCCCCGGCGTGGATGCCCATGCTGGCAGCCAAATCCGCGCCCGCAGAGGCGAGCTTAGCGTCTTGTACGAGATTATAAGACCCATGCCGGCCCTCGCATGTCATCGTAATCTCCGTGTAGGAATCGTAATTGGCATCTGTGATGCAAGTGCGAGCCAGGCGAGAAATGTAACCGGTCTCCTCCTGGCCGGGCAAATGAGACTTCTTCTGAACGGTGACGAAGTAGGCAAAATCTGATGCGTTGAATCCGTAAACATATTTGACGAGGAAATGATCGCGGTACTTGACGTCGATGCGCAATAGAGATTGTTTTAAGAACGAGCTTTCTGCATAGTCTAGATCATACAAGTTTCTCGTCGAGACTGCCGGCACGTCATGGCGGTAATCGCCGACAGCCGTGAAAGTTGTACCGACGTAAAGAGCTTCGGATCCCCCCCACGGCTTGTAACGCTCAGGGCCGACAAAAGCATAGGTGGATGAGTGGGGGTCATTGGCCGCTACTGAACGAGGAATGTACTCAGGAGTGAGAGACACGTTGGCAGTTCGAAACTTATGACAAGCACCTTGCGAAACCGAGCCGCACATGATCAGTGTTGACGCTGCTGGATCCAACACCAAAACTTTGTTGATGTTGTCTGATAACGCACGACTCACGGAACTTTCTGGGCCACACCCGGAAGCATGGCACCGAGCCGAATCAAACCTGGGACCAGTTTCCACAACAGATTTGACCTCGAGGTTATCGGCGGTGACCTCGTACAGCCTGTTGGTGCCTCCAAGGTAAAGCACGTCAGCAGCGGTGTTGTAGACGACGTGCTGTAAAGCAATGCTCTCGTTTCCTGTACTGAAGACTGCTTCTACGGAACTCAGGGACTCTTCAGCCGCTCTCAGCCCGCGATATTTTATGGCTTTCAAGCGGTGACCACTAACACCGCTATAAGATGATAACAGGATTAAAAAATAAATTAAAAGAGATGAATACCTAAATTTACGATTTGAGATTCGGGGCTTTAGACACATTGAAACTCTTTTTGTTAAATTAAATATAGAATGAGTTGGCTCTTCTTCGACTGGAGCTTGCAAACGCTCGCTGTTGGTCGCATCAGATTGACCGGCGTGGGGCATGGAGGAAGAATGTTCAAAATTTAGGCGACATTCTTTAGGTGTGAGGGTAACGGGAATTTTGTCGGTTTTCGAGTAAAGAGAAGAAATCCTGCTGAATTTCTTCGCGTGTGGAGAGCAGGACACCGATTTCTCGTGCCAGGAGCTCAGGTCACCCATGGTTGCGGAGCACAGTGGGAGCTGGACCGTTGCGCCTCGCTGTAGACAAAAATATATCATTATTAGTATTCATATGAACACAAGAGTTTAAATGATATTCACAGAAGATATAACTGGTTGTAGATAAGAAGCACAACATTCTAAACCGGTTGAACCACTAACAAACACCAGAACATAAACAATTAATTCACTTTACAGTAAGAACAGTCAAAAATCCGCTAATGGAAAGGAATAATAGAGTTTGTTGTTATTTTCAAATGTAATTGAGAAGCCAAGAACGTGGATATGAAGTTAGAGGCGAGCGTAATCAAGCTCAAGACAAGCAAACCCACCCAATTCTCTCGTGCATTGCAGCAATAAACAGCGATTGCCTGGAGGCTCGCACGGTGAATAAGGGCAGAGGTGGAAATTCAAGCGATCGAATAGTGATGAAAAGTCACGCTGTCTCGGCCAAATAGACAAAAAGAGACAGAAAATTCGTGGCATATCCTATATCAGCCCCAATTAAATGGAGCCAGCATGCTATCGTGCTTCAGTGTTCTAAGAGACTCAAAAAATGTTAAAGATAACTTGTGAATAACATTTATTAACATTTAGATATATGTAAACAGGTACAATTGAGGAGTGATTTCTTTAAATTCTAAACAGCTCTGCTTTTACTCATCGAATGTGCATTAAAGCAGAGTGTAATTCTAGAAAATGTTGTTGCATGATCCACGTGACCGGAGCAAATTGCGTGCAGATTATCTATTCCAAATGTGAAGAACAGCTGCGCGAGAAATAGCGCAGGCATCAAGCTGAACCCCAGGGCGGATCGAATGCAAGAAAATCTTGCCAAGACGCAAACACTGCAGATAAAGACGGCGCGATTGAAAGGCGCCGTGGCAGAGCCGTACGGTGCGGCGAACGAACCTCGCAAGTTGTCAAGTCATCATCAGTAATTCGGAGCAAAGCCGACGCGCCAAAGCGGCTGCCACAGAGACGACAACGCCAACAACACCGCCTTTGCATCCTTGATGAATATGACAACAAAATTTATACCCAATATATCATCCATGCTCGTCAATGACCAGGCTACGACCATAAATAAAAATGATGGGTTGTTATGAAGGAAAGGAGAGCTAAATCGCTACAAACACAAATATGTATCCAAAACTTTTAGGGAAAATAAACATAGAGTATTGAATGGCACTAGACATTTTGTTCAATGACACCAGACCTGCAATCGAAAGTGATGAACCATTGAACCAAGATAATTGCAGTGACGTCTTGACACTTGCAAAATTAAGCATTGCCATTACGAAGAATTAAAAGCGTTGCAAGTTTTTAGTTCAATTTTTAAACCTAATATTAGGAGCAAAAAGCCATTTACAAACTTATTTTTCCCACAATGAAAACCATGATTACATATTTCGTAACGACACTGCATGTGTTAGGTTCGTTCAAAGTTTCTTTTTTATTCAACTAATTTATTCACTGGCGTAAAGGATTTTGCGCTAATGCTACTGACTCGTGAAACACACGATCTTCTTTGCTGGCAAATTTTGTGGGTGTTGAAGGTGTGTTTGGAAGCGCTAGCCCCTATACGGCGCGGCATAATGGGAGGCATCAGCATTGCCAAGCCCTCGCGCTAAAAATGCTTTCAAAAATTAAGGCTTGCTTCCTGAGAGCTCTAGCTCGTACAGCCGAGTTTTGAGCAGCGAGTCTGAGCCTATTTTTCCTTCAGTGCCTATTTTTCCTTCAGTGCCTCTTGACACTGTAGCGAGCAGCAAAATGCAGCCGAGCGCGCCACTTCCCACACCCAGCAAGCCTTTCAAGGACGAGTAGAAATACTCCAGAAAACACCTCAGTATTTGCCTGCCTTAGGATTACAAACTCAACGGGAAATTATGTTACAAGCGGCACAGTGAAATCAACGGAGCAGTGCCCATTTGATAGCTCTTGATAAGCAACGTAGACCCGTACGATCCTACAACTTCAGGGCCTACAATATTATAAATATATTTGAAAACATTAATTTACACTGAAATAAGGGAACAAACAGCTAAAATAAAGCAACACAAACCAAAATTGTTATAACACAATGACCATTGACAACTATGGCAAGGATTTTTTCTACTATGGGCAGGTTATTTAGAAATATTTCAGAATATTGCAAAACAGTAGTATTCATTTTAAAAATTTATTCAAAATTAATAACAAAAGAAACGTTCAAACAAATCAACCAAATTATCAATTCCTTTGTCTGAATGCAAAGAATGAGATTATCCTATATTTTTAGCAAAGTAAAAAACGATAAGCTGACAGACAAGCTCGAGGTAAAGACAAATCATAATAATAATGATAACAATGGCATGACAAATGCTCGACTCTTTATCCGACCAATTAATTTCAGTGGGAACTCGTAGACTGTAGAACACCGGTCTTTACGTACGACGCAAGATATCCTTAGAAGTGCACAGCTAATTTCCTTCATATCGCGCCTTCAATTATAACGAAATAAACGTTGGGTGTCCAGTGGCCGTAGTTGACTCTCGTGGTGCACAAATGAGGCTATCGTGAGCAGAACATTTGGACATGGACCTAATTTGGACATCTTCGACTGAAAACATAAAATTAAGTGTACCTCTCACATACCAAGGAGTTTCCATCATTTATAACTTGGTTAAGATTAATTTACTCCCTAATAAGTATGTAATTTGAAGAAAATGTAATGAATGCAAACTATCGTAGCTGTTCTCTGAATGGAGAAATGAACAATCCTTTTATCTAAAATCAGTTATTTCGAGTTCATACGACTTGGATAAGAAAGACCTCGCGGTGCACGAAGGCTAACTATCAACCAAGCAAGCAGCGAGGACGGGAAACGACAGAGACAAGGCACTGAAAGTTCCATGAGACGAGAGGCAATGGCCTGCTGATGGCAATAAAGACTTCGTAAAGCATGCCAGAGAATAAGACACTGAAGATAAGAGGGAAGCATCGGCATGAGACATGACAGAAGATCAGGTCCCGGGCAACCATAAATACCAGCACCGCCAGAGCTGTCGTGACCGATAGGATGGCAACGACGCACACCAAGTCTAGCAGACACCGCGCGCAAAATCTTCAGATTCTCGGGGTTTGGAAAACGTAATTTCGAGGTTGTTTTCTAAAAATCAAACACACGATAACAGCCTGCTGACTCCGTTAATAGAAGGCTGCGCAAAACAATGAGTTGGAATAAACTATTATAATCGAATAAATAGATAATAATGACCTGATTTCCAGTACAAATATGGTTTGATAGTTAGCGATTCATCGTAGAAAAAGCAAAATAAAATGAGTTGACATACACAAAAGATTTGACATACACAAAAAAATTATATCTAGCCAAATCACGCATGAATTATCATCAATATCTATACTACAACATACTTATTTCAGTATCTGCAGTTCCTCGCTAAGCAAGGTATAACGTTCAACATAGTTATCAGATTACAGATTTAAGTTCAACGATTGAAAACATTACAGATCTCAACCAAACACTCACTTTCCAAGTTAAAGAATACATTAAACGCGAACAGCATTCCCAGGTTCCCCAATGCACTTGTGCGAAAACAGAGGTGCAGATATTGCATTCCATGAACGTTTCCAAAGGTAAACTTGTACAATTACAAAGGCTAAACTTTTTCATTGATTTGCACCGGGGCAGCATAGCCAGAGAAGCAAAAGGGCAGACACTCTGCGCCGGCTTACCGATAGAAGTGTGAAAAAAGATCGAGCAACAGGAAACACGCTGCTTGCAAGAGCCTCTAACAGGATGAGTATGACAGATGTCTGGAGTGCTGATGATCAAACCCTCGCTAAGTTTCAATGGGCGCTAAACGTCCATGAAGCGACCGCAATTCTCCCACCAAATGAGCTGGCAAGATGATGATTAAGCAAGAATGACCTTCTTCCAGCAAGTTCATCACAATTTGCATGCGATTTACCTAGTGATGAGGATAATTGAGCCGGCGAATTTTACATCCATTACTAGTCATTGCATTTGCAATCTATAACCTCCTTAAAATACAAGCCTGACAAACGAACACTAGCAGAAGAATTTTAACGATGCAAGGCCCAATAGAAGCGGGGACTTTGCCTAACTAAAAGAATGACGCTTCAAGCCCGGCCATCGAGTCAACCCTAGTCACGAAGGCCGATTAAGATTTCTAATTTGAATGGACAGAAGACGGCAAGGCAGCGAATTTATTGAATAGAGCCTGAGTAATAATAATAAATAGCACTTTCGCAATGGGGTCAAATTAGCCCCGTGCGACGGTTACCAACATCATCGAGTCCAGCTGGCTGCCGACTCAGGAAATAAAACATCAATGAAGCAAGGACCAACTGCTTCAATTGATCAAATATTTCGAATAGACGTAAAAAACGAAACCAGAGACGCTTTATATAATAGAATTGTCATATATAGAATAGAATTGTCTTTATATAATAGAATGGTCATATTATATAATAGAATTGTCAGATTTCAATTGTAGCATTAAGAAATATAGGCCCTTCATGTTCGAAAAAATACCCCAGAAAATTGAATAGCAAATTATACGGAAAAGCGAAATGAAAACGTGTGTATGTATACAAGAAAGAAATTCCCATTGTACTGCATGAAAAGAAACCTTTTATAACCTCAAAAACACATTTAAATTTTTGTCGATAGCTAAACATTACTCTATTGCCATATTAGGAGATTATGATCATGCATAAGGAGATTATGAAATTTCATTACTGCATTGACATAAGGACGAAGCAGGAAAAGCACTACGCGGAAGTATGGACTTCGACTACAAATGCTAATCGCGTCAGAATGTCGCCCTCATCACATTACTGATCATGAACGTTCCGCGAAATGACCAATACAGCTGATAATCAAGCTACGCATGAACGGGAAATCGAGAAGGATAGTGCAAGGCGACGAACCTTACAGGCTTTGCAGGGTTTTGTTTGGCTCGTAAAGTAGACAGCAATCAACGCTAACGATCGACCACCGAGATCAGCAG